CCAGCTTTCTGTCCACCTTATAGTCCATTCATCCAATCCATACTTCTTTAACTTGCTGGCAAGAATACTTTGGGAGACTGTATCAAAAGCTTTGGTAAAGTCAAGGTATATCATGCCACTGCTTTCCCCACATTCACAGAGCCATTAGTTATCTCATCATAGAAGGCAATCAGGTTGGTCAAGCATGACTTGCTCTTGGTGAATCCATGTTGACTGTTCCTAATCACCTTCCTTTCCTCCAAGTGCTTCAAAATGTATTTCTTGAGTACCTGCTCCTTGATTTTTCTTTGATATGCTCTTTATCTTATATTTGTGTATGAATAAAAGCATTTTACTCCACCGCTAGCTTCTTCTTTTTGAAGCCATAATCTTGCATTTGTAACATCATTGTTGTTTACTTTAATATCACAGATACTGTAGTACAATTTTACTGCAGGATTAGAAACTAGAAGAATATGAGCTGAGTGGTAGCTGGCCCTTCTTTGAGCCATAAATACTTTAGAAATTAGCAAACAAGGAAAGCATAATGATTTTTAAAAATGGAGAAGGAAGAGTGGATTTATTTTGAAACATGACATGTTTAAAAGTTTTGTGTTAGTCCCTCAAGGGGAAATGAGCCTTTTGGCACCTTAAGGGTGAGAAAATAGCTTAGAGTGTTGGAAACCACCCTCCAACCCACAGGGAAGGCTTGGAGTCAGCCTTTTTGCTGTACAGTATTGGGGATCTTCCCCAATATTGCTGGGTGAATTTTCAGCTTGGATCTGATCCAAAGCCCACTGAAGTTCATGAGAGCCTTTGAATTAACTTAGTTGGGCTTTGGCTCAGGCCCCTAATGAAAGATTTTTAACAATTATAGAAAAGTTTAGTAAATCTAGTCAGATTAGACAAAAAGGTGTTAGGTGGTGTATCCCAACAGCAAGTCACCCCTAAATTCCAGCCACAGTCACATTTACATGTGCTAACATTGCAGATCTTGTGAAACACTGTGCATCATGGCAGGCTGCCAGTGTAAAAAGTCAAAACTCTTAAAGTGCTGCCATGCCCAAGAAGCAGTATATCAATCTTGCAGACAGCTTGGAGTCTGTAATATAGTTAGTTATCAGCAAGCATCTCACTGCTCCTTTCAGTACCATACTAGCGATGGATCACTAGTGCTTCAAAAATGCTGGTGATTAGTATGATGATTTCTCTTTTTTGCATCTCTGTTTGTTTTTTTTAAATATTTTTAAGACCATGCTCATTGTGTTGATATGTTACTGTCAGTGACATTCATGGCATAATGAATCTTCCAGTGAAGATGGTTTCAATCCAGCTTGCATTTCTAATAGATTGAGTTTAAATGTTAAATAATTCTAGATTTATTAATAGAAAACACAAGTGAATCCATGCATAGAAACTATGTAGTCTGAAAAGAACTTTCCTTAAAAACTGAGGGCTTTTTTTTTCTTTATTTTAAACACGATAAAATGTACGAAGGGAAAAGTGTACTAAGAGACTGATCTAAGATTGACTACAGTGATAAAGCAGTTGCATGTACTGTCAAGTAGTTCTGGGATTGAAGTAGTGGTTTAATTTAGGCAAACTGTTTTGATGGTTTTTTGTTTTTAAAAAAAAGCTGCCATAGAAACAGAAGGTTTAAATCTTTACTATATTGTAAACATGAGAGCATAAAGGCAGGTTTTCTTTTAATGTTATATATAACATAATGTGTGTTGTGAGGGGTGTATACATGTGCATATAGTTTGCATTAAGTGTCACAGTTTTTAGGGCCTGAGTTAGTGCCACTAATCAACAGAAGTCAGTGAGCATTAGTTTGGATCCTTACAGCATAAAGTTATATCATTGGGCAAGTGCATTATTGGCAGTGAAAGACACTGCAGAGATCTATATTTGAGATCAACATTCAGATGTTAGTTTTTTATTGGAAAACTGAAACCATAAAAAGGCAACACGAACTAACAGGTTTTTCTGGTGATCGATCAGGTCCTGCTTGCATGGGTAGTGCTTCTTGATAGTTTTTGGAATGTTAATTTTATTCAGAGCTATTGCACCATTGTCCAGACACTGGATGTGGTTTAATTAGGTCGCAACTTTATTCTTAAATATCTGGAAGCACCCAGCAGATAAAAGTGTACAGTGCAGGTAACTCCATAATCATTTCAATAGACGCCCAAAGGGCTTCTGCCAGCTATCCCCCTTTCCCATCTTGGTCCCCAGCCAACCTGAAGAACCTATCCCCCTTCCCTGCCTCCCTCCCCCAGTTAAGGGGGATGAGGATTAAGGGGGAATATAAAGGGTGGTGTTGGCTCCCTGCCGCACCAGTCATAGGAGCCCCAAACACCCCTTCTCCCCCCCCCACACACACATACCCTGTTTCTGCTCCTTTAAAGAATACCTCCTTTAAATCATGTAAAGCAACTGTAATGGCCAGCAGAGTGACCTCACCGCACATTAAGTGGTGGGTGGGGGCTGTTTTCTGGAAAAGGTGTGTGCCCCTTTAAGGGCTAGAGAGTCAGAGGGTGACTTTCTGCTACAGCTGCAGACCAGCTCCATGTGGGAGTGCTGCTGAGCCCTTGCTGACTGTATTCTCTGTACGCTGGGTCTGATCCAAAGCCCATTGAAGCCAATGGGAATCTTTCTGCTGACTAAAATGAGGTTTGAATCAGGTGTCTGAACAGAATCCAGCAATATATGATCACCAGAAAAAGAAAAATAAGGGTTGAAGTTTATGTTACGTCCTGAGTGCTGCTTCCAACCTGGTTATTTGAGGCTTTTAGCACATTATGCTAAGACTGTTCGCTTTTTGTATAAATGGGAAGCATTAAGAGTTATCACCCCCCAAAAAATTACAAGCTCTTATGGTGGTGAACAGCTGATGATACCCAGAATGGGTGTGATAGTTCACTGCTAAAATATAACTACAAATAATTAGGAAAACTAAGAGAAATTGTAGCCTTACGTAGTCAGCACTCAAGTTAATATTTGAAAAGCTCTGTAAAACATAAATGCCCACCACATCTGTGGCACAGAATCTGTTAAGGCCTGTGAGGACTTAACACATTTTGAAACTGGTGCAGTCATTGTGGGGAAAAGTAGGAGGAGCTGAAAGACCTGGCTGCCCGGTTCCGATAGCAAACTGTATGAGCCAGAGCAAAGAGGAATGTCCCAATGACTTTGAAGCAGGCAGTTTGCTACAGCATCTAATGGACGTAAATTGGTTTGTCAGCCACGAAAGGGAAATAAATAAATAGATACTGACTTATAATAGAGGCCAGGTAACAGAAGGTCCTATGCTGACCTTTTATTAGAAAAAGCACAGTGGCAGGATAAAATATCTGGTGGACGCAAGAATGACTGCAGATGGACATATACTTAATTGGTACCATTTGAGCCATTTCATTTTTTTTTATTCACTTTCATTTCTGGAACTGTGCTATTTTTATACATTTCTAGTTTACGGAGTAAAAAAAAAGCCCATGTTAGAGAGCAAGAGTGAGAAAATACTGCCACATTTGAGCTGATGTGAAATTCCAGTTTTCTATCTTATATATCTTACTGAAATTGACACTAGCTGATGGTTTTGTAATAAAATTACATCAGCTTGTCTTTGACTATTAGTGCTGCATGTTACGGTACCTAGAATAAGCTTCATTTTCTTTAGCTGAACATTACAGCATACACAAACCTCTTTACAGGAAATGCTGAAAAACAGTCAGAACATACTTTATACTATAGTATGCTGTGCTATACTAACCTATTTCTAAGGCACTAATCACCATAGTCCCAATGGTACTTTACAGATATGTTAGCAGACATGCTCTCGTTAAGTTAGTCAGCTGTATGCAGCATGTTTGATTTTTCTAAATGTTGTTTTTGTTTTTTTGTTAAAGCCTTCTGTATTTATTTTGTATTATAATTTCATCTTTTGCATATTTTATATATAAAAGTAGAAAAAACATGTCTTCATTTTTAGTGCAATTTGCAACCTTTTAGCCTTCTTTATATGAATGTAAGTAACTTCAGTAATGTGTGAGCTCCTTCATTAAATGTATTTTCTACATGTATTTTCAAAGCATAAGAGCCTTCCTTAGTAAGTAGTCTTTTTCCATTAATAACAACACGGTTTGTAATGCACTTCAGATGAGCTTTATTCAGGTGAAATCCAACAACCAGGAATAGTTTTAATAACTTACATTAGCACAGGAGTTCTTGGTCTAAATATGGAGTTCTCCAGTTTGCTTTTTGAGAGCTCAATATTTTCCTCCTTAACCATGATTTTTAATGGTTTATTTTAATCATATGGTATACTAGGTGCATAGAGTTCTAACATCATCAAGAAAGTAAGTTAGTGTGAAATAATATACAGTAACTGGAGATCACCATCCTGCCAAGTCGTCCGTAGCTCTAGGAGAGTCCTGAACTTTAAAAATAAAATATAAAAAGATTAGTCACTTGCACACCTATTTGTTTCATTGATGCTGCTACCATGTGGCTGATAAATAAATATGTGCACACACACACAGAGATCACTGTTTTAAACAAAGGGCCACATGTTCCGTAAAGAATGTCTCAAACTGTTTCCCAGCCCCCCAGCCAATCTCTTCCAAGTGCCATTCAGTAGCCTGAACGGGCCCAGATATAATGCAGTGGTGTCCAACCTGTGCCTTCGAGGCTTTAAACTGTGCGCATGTATTGATTTGCGATCCTGAAAGTACTTGTACCATCAAAATCACAAGGACTCCTAATGAGCATATCCTTTTGCAGGATCAGGCCTGTGTTTTGTTCTCTGAATTTTATAGTGAAAAAAGACATGGCTTACCAAGATGCTTGAAAATATTTGGAGAAAAGTTTTTAAAAATGATTTTTTGTAATTATTACAGAGTCCTTCAGACCTGCAAAATTTTAATACATGATGAAACCCAAATGCAATGAAAAGGGGAAAAAATCAGATTACATAAAGCAAGGTTTGTTCTTTTTTTTTATTTTTTTTTAAATTCTAGGTACTAAATGAAGCAGTGGGTGCACTGATGTATCACACTATCACTTTAACACGAGAAGACCTGGAGAAATTCAAAGCACTTCGAATAATTGTCCGAATTGGCAGTGGTTTTGATAACATTGACATCAAATCTGCTGGGGATTTAGGTATGATTATTAAAGACGCTGTTTTATTTGAACATGTTATAGTTGCCTCCAGAAATGTGATAGCATCTAAGTCTTTGCATCAACATTTTCTGTATAATTTGTGCTAACATAATATATAAACTGTATAATTTTCTCATCAGAGTGTTCAAAAATCATTATGGTGATATTAACATTAGTTAATTAACTGATAATGGATTTGTGACAGTATGGCAGTCTGTCCATTCAAGAAACATTTCAAGACTAAGAGCAGACTTTTTTTAAAACAGTAAACAGGAGACTTTCTGTCTGTTTATTTAAATTGCTACAGACTGTAATCCAGTTACAGTGTATAATTCTGTCAGTATTATGGCATACTATTTTGTTTTGAAAATAAACAAATAGGCCTAGCACCTGTGTTTGGACTGTAAGATCTAGTTCAGAAGCTTTTCCTGGTAGACAAATCAGGCACATCAGTTTTATCAAAGAATCAATTGTAATTACATGAAAAATAAACTAAACCGCTGGAGAATTTTGGGGAGAGGATCTTCACTCTCCTATTATTCAAAAGCTGCAATCTGGTTTGAACTGTTGTTTGCTTCACAACAGTCAAAAACAAAGCTGTATTCTCAAAGTACAAGTTTCCAGTTTATTTCTTCAGTTTTTCTGAATAAACTGGGAACAAATTACCTGAAGATTTTCTTCCTGTCACTTTTGACTAAGTCCTGCAAACATTTACTACCTAGTGTAGTACTTATTGCAGTGTCCGTCCCACTGAAGTAGTGAGTGGTTGTAGTACTGAGTTGTTTATTAGTAAATAAGGGTGAGTCACCCAACACCAGTTTCCTTAGCTTCTATTTTTTACACGTTAGTTAAAATAGATTTTTTTCTAGTGTGACAAATGCCTCAGGAGCAGGTTAGATCTGAAGATGTTTAGGGGACTGTTCTCCCTTTGGTGCATACCTTGAACTCCAGTTTACATTAATAAGGTTAGACACATTCATTGTGATGAACGCAGACATGTTCATTTGCAAACTTACATCATAGAGGTGGGCCTGAAGCAAAATACCAGGTCCAAACCCTAACTCTGGTCTCAGAATTAAGACCCAGTCCTGCAGAAGGTTCCACTTGTGCAGAATCCTACTGAAGCAAATGGGACTCCAGGCAAGAATATGATCTGTACATACAGGCAGGTATCCTTGCTGGGTTACAAGTTCACAACTCAAACCTACCTCATAGCTGTCCAAACTTGAACATCCCAGACTTTGGGAACGTTTTGATTCAGATCTAAATGCTAAATGGCAACATTTCTGAGCATTCAAGTCTGAGGCTTTGATTAGACTCATTTAAGCTGGACAATTAGGATCCAAAGTATTGATCCTTGCCTATCTTTAATGAATAAAATTGTCCTCTCCCAATGAAATAACTGTCGGTTTTGCTTTTTAGTTAGTAAAATCTGGATCAAAGTTGAAAGTCTGATTTTATTTTTAAGCTCCATCTGGCTAGAGCTAGTGACTGGGATTCAACCACTGACTTACCATTACTTGCAAAATCACTTAACCTACCTGTCACCCAGTTTCCCCTCTGGAGAACTGGTATAAATAATACATACCTCATAGATAGAGGTGATGTGAGAGTTAATTATTGTTTGTAAAACACTTTCATCTGCTGATGAAATGTGCTGTGGAAGTAGGTTTTGTGGTAGTAGCAACAATATTCAGAAGAAGCCAGGTATTTTATCAGAAGCCTACTTAGTGGAAATCACATGAGAATTTTTTCACTTTAGAAAAAAATATTTTTGTAGATACGGTTACAGCTGCATTCTTTTCATGCTGTCATTTTTGGTTGATGTGTATTTCACAAAAAATGTGGAACCAGGAGTTTCCCATGCAAAAACCTGAAAATCTGACTTTTTCCACAAACTTGTGAGTTGCTGCTTATGTGCTGAGAAAAACCTGAGAGATGAGGATGTAATCAGGGAGGTAGGAATGAGCCTATAGAAGGCAAATAGGGCTGGGGCTTTGGGTGAAGCCAACTATTCTTGGACTCTCTAAGGGGGTGTGTGTGTGTAGACCAGACCACTGAGATCAGTGGGGGGGAAAAGGTGTGTAGAAGAAATCACAGAAGCTATTCTGCCCCCCTCCCTCCCTAATAATATAGTGCTGTTTTCTCAGTAAGTGGGAAGGCCATACCCTTTTCCCTCTATGGTAAGTCTTGTGCTTGTCCACTTTCTCCTTGTTCTTGTCCTCCTCCTGCTGCTGCAAGTGGATAACCCCGCAGGGCAAGCTCCTTATTTCAGCTGCCTATATGTAGTAAACTATTTAGAGGTGGGAGAAGGGAAAAAGAAGCTCTAGAACGTAGGTGAAAGGTTACATGACCCTTCTCCCTACAGTCTTCTAGGGACAACTATACGATGAGCAAGAAAAGCTCCAACAAGCTGCAAGGTGAGTGGAAATTCCTTGTTTCTTTCTCCAGACATGTAATGAAACATTTCTAACTCTGTAGAAAGCAGCGTTTGGTAGATGCTGGGAAATAAAATATGTGTTTATGACTTTTAATATTGTCCCATGCAATTTGTATTTTTGTTCCATGAAAATGGCACTTCTTTCTTGTATAACCAAATACAGCCATTTAATATGATAGGTTTAACATAATTTTACCCTCCAGTTAAACAAGGATACTCATTTTGCCTCTTTCTTTTTTCTTTTACAATGTTGGGATTCATCCTACAGTTCATGCTAATAGGATGCCAAGAATGATATGCCAGCAAAGGAAGCTGTTTTATCTTAGTAAATCTAAGAGCAGTGACTCAGCAGATGATTCCGCACAGCAAAGAAAAATAGTTATGCAGCCTCCCTATATCGATTTTTTTATTGATCTCAAAAGTCAATAAAGGTGCAAGCCAGCAGAATAAAGAAATTTGGATTCACACTGTAGATAAATAGGTTTGAGATGATAATTTATCAAATTACTGACATTGTTCCTATTATTGAAGAGAATACTGTTCTGTCTCTCTTGCTTCATAAGATGTGAAGTTCATAATATTAAAGCTAGGTTGTCGTTATTCTCTCAGGCCAAAGTGAATGGTCAGCTGCCTCCTTTGTTAGCTGAAGCAGCTTATTTAATTTTTATTTATGTACAAATATCCACAGTGAAAAATGCCCTACTAGTTGATGAAGAAAAAAGTACATATTCATCTCCATTAAAAGGTATGACAGGAATCATCAGCAGTCTGAACACAAACTTTGTCAGGAGTCAGAGCTGGTAAATAGAGAGGGAGCAGACAGTACATGGAACTGAGAAGAGGCAACATTTAAGCAGGACAAAAGCTTTTTAAAGTAAACAACAACAACAATCGCTAGGGTTATTTCAGAAAAAAGGGTTTTCTTAACTGTGAAGCATATATTGAGTACTGCAAGGAAATTATTGTTCAGAAAACTACTGCAAGGTGGCAAACGTGTCCATAGTGGCAAAGCCAACTCACCTGGGGTCTATTCCATTTTTGGGAATAACTGCCATTCACTACAAAGATTTTGGATTCAATCTCTGGTGCCCAATCCAACTTCTGTTGAAGTCAGCATGATTTTCTCTATTACTTTCTCTCACCTTCTTGCCTCCATGCCTTGCTCACTACAGACCAGCTATTGTCAGGTGCTTAGCACCATAAACTCCTATTATCTTCAAACACCTTGTAGGAGCAGACTCAACACCTCAATATGAAGATTTAGGTAGGGTGTGTCTTTACTGGTTAGCTTGGGGGCTGCGGGTCAGGGCTTATGTTTCTGTTCACAGCAATTCTACTGACTAGTTGTGCAATCTTGAGCAAGCCATTTTTAAGCTCTCTCTCACTGTACCCATGTATGAAGTGGATATAATCATACCTGCCCCAGGGGGGCCTGGCGAGCGTTCACTAATATTTCGAAAACTGTTTGAGATCATCATTAGTTTATATAAACAGAGCTTTCTTGTATAAAAGGGCTTGACAAAGCCCTGGCTGGGATGATTTAGTAGGGGTTGGTCCTGCTTTGAGCAGGGGGTTGGACTAGATGACCACCTGAAGTCTCTTCCAACCCTAACCTTCTATGATTCTAACTAATGCGGTTTAACTCTAAGAACCAGCACAAACCTCGCTTCTTTTGTTGCCAGTGCAAGGCACAAGTCTTGACTTTGCCTTGGCTAATATAAACACAGAGCACATTATATAGCTAATAAAATATCTCCAGCAAAAATATATTGAGAAGCCATAAATAAACATATAGTCCTGGTTTTCCATACACTAATACGTGAATTAGTCCCATTGAGCTTAATGAGACTACTCATGGGCATAACTATTTGTAAGATCAGGCCTTAGTATGGATTTCTCAGTATGAAAAGAACATAAGAATGGTCATAATGGGTCAGACCAATGGTCCACCTAGCCCAATATCCTGTCTTCCAACAGTGGGCACTACGAGGTGCCCCAGAGGGAATGAACAGAACAGGTAATCATCAGATGATCCATCCCCTGTCACCCATTCCCAGCTTCTGGCAATGAGAGGCTAGGGACACCCAGAGCATGGGGTTGCATCTGTGACCAACGTGGCAAATAGCTGTTAATGCACCTATCCTCCATGAATGTATCTAATTCTTTTTTGAACCCCATTATAGTTTTGGCGTTCACAACATCCACTAGCAATGAGTTCACAGGTTGATTGTGCGTTGTGTGAAGAAGTACTTCCTTTTGTTTGTTTTAAACCTGCTGCCTACTAATTTCATGGGTTGACCCCTCATTTTTGTTATGTGAAGGAATAAATAGCATTTCCTTATTTGCTTTCTCCTCACCATTCACAACTTTATAGGCCTCTGTCATAGCCCATCTTAGTTGTCTCTTGTCCAAGTTGAAAAGTCCCAGTCTTTTTAATCTCTCCTCATAAAACTGCATGAAGTATTCCAAGTTTGGGCATACCATGGATTTATATAGTGGTATTGTGATATTTTCTGTTTTATCTATCCTTTTCCTAATGGTTCCTAACATTCTGTTAGCTTTTTTGGACTGCCACCATCTATTGAGAGGACGTTTTCAGAAAACTATCCACAATGACTCAAAAATCTTTTTTTTTTTTTTAGGGTCAGCTAAATTAGACCCTGTCATTTTCTATGTATAGTTGGGATTATGTTTTCCAATATGCATTATTTTGCATTTATCAACACTGAATTTCTTCTGCCACTTTGTTACCAGTCACCCAGTTTTGTGAGATCCATTTATAACTCTTTACAGTCTGCTTTGGACTTAACTTGCTTGAGTAGTTTTTATTGTCTGCAAATTTTGCTACCTCACTGTTTACCCCTTTTTCCAGCTCATTGATGAATATATTAAACATCACTGGTCCCAGTACAGATCCCTGGGGGACACCACTATTTACCTCTCTCTCCATTCCGAAAACTGAACATGTATTTCTCCCTTTTTTCCTACCTTTTTTTTTTTTTAACCAGTTACTGACCCTTGAGAAGATCTTCCCTCTTATCCCATGACAGCTTACTTTGCTTAAAAGCCTTTGATGAGGGACCATGTCAAAAGCTTTCTGAAAGTCCAAGTACACTATATCAACTGGATCACCTTTGTCCACATGTTTGTTGATACCCTCAAAGAATTTTTATAAATCGGTGAGATGTGATTTCCCGTTACAAAAGCCATGTTGACTTTTCCCCAGGAAATCGTGTTCATCTATTTGTCCGATAATTCTGTTGTTTACAATATAGAGTCAACCAATTTGCAAGGTACTGAAGTTAGACTTACCAGCCTGTAATTGCCAGGATTGCTTCTGGAGCCTTTTTAAAAAAATTGGTGTCACATTAGATATCCTCCAGTCATCTGGTACAGAAGCTGATTTACATACCACAGTTAGTTAGTTAATAGTTTCGTATTTGAGTTCCTTCAAAACTCTTGGGTGAATATCGTCTGGTCCTGGTGACTTATTGCTGTTTAATTTATCAATTTGTTCCAAAACCACCTCTAATGACACCTCAGTCTGGGACAGTTCCTCAGATTTGTCACCTAAAATGAATGGCTCAGGTGTGGAAATCTTCCTCACATCCTCTGCAGTGAAGACTAATGCAAAGAATTCATTTAGCTTCTCCGCAACGGCCATATTTACTTTGAGTGCTCCTTTAGCACCTTGATCATCCAGTGGTCCCATTGATTCATTGGCAAGATTCCTGCTTCTGTTGTGCTTTAAAAAAAAATTGCTGTTAGTTTTTGAGTCTTTGGATAGTTGCTCTTCAAATTGTTTTTTGCCCTGCCTAATTATACTTCTACACTTGACTTGCCAGAGGTTTATGCTTCCTTCTATTTTCCTCAGTAGAATTTCACTTCCCATTTTAAAGGATGTCTTTTTGCCTCTGATCACTTCATTTACTCTGTTGTTTATCCATGGTGGCAGTTTTTTTAGTCCCCTTGCAATCTTTTAATTTGGGGTGCTCATTTAGTTGAGCTTCTATTATGGTGTTTTTACAAAGTTTCCCTGCAGCTTGCAAGCATTTCACTTTTGGAACTGTTCCTTTTAACTTCCATTTAACTAGCCTCCTTAAAAAAAATATATTAAAAATCATACATTTAACAAATAGCTTTGATAATGGAAATAGATTACAAAGCTGCACTTGCGTTCTGGCATGCATTAGCCAGATGCTCCACTGTTTGCACAGAGATGTTTACATTCAAAGAATTTTTGTTTTTGTGAAAACTTTTGAAATGTCATAAATATGTTTCTATTAATAGTGGTTTTGGGGCCTGAACTACCAGACAATATCTCTTCTGTAACTTTCCTTTTGGAATTTTTTTCGTGCATTACTCCTGTGAAGTTTAAAACATATTGAAGTCCTGCCACTGTCATTCAAGCCATGAACTCTGATGTTTATACAAACAGCATGTGAAAATATCTGTGGATTGTAAAATTAAATCTACAATATCCTTGACTCTAGAATAATTTACTTGTTAACTTCTAGGGTGACTTTTGAGTGAGGGGAAAAAAGAGCGTGTGACATATTCAGTAAATGTATAATCTTTTTTTTTTCAGGAATCGCAGTATGTAATGTGCCAGCTGCATCAGTAGAAGAGACAGCAGATTCTACAATGTGCCACATCTTGAACCTTTACAGGCGAACCACCTGGCTTCACCAGGCCTTGCGAGAAGGCACAAGAGTACAGAGTGTTGAGCAGATTCGGGAAGTTGCTTCTGGAGCTGCCAGGATTAGAGGGGAGACCTTGGGCATTATTGGATTAGGTATGTTGACTCTGAGTAGACAATTGGTTTTCAGTTTTTTTATCCATTGTGATAGAATTATGGAAATTGAAAATGGAAAAGAAGAGTCATGGAAGCCATCCCCTGCAGTGCTTAGATCATATTTGCTTTGTCCAAGCTTGTATGCTGAATAAGCAATACCCGTGCTAAATACAAATGTCCCCAACTGATGGGGCTTTCTCTATTTACCTTAGAAGACTACTTCAAAATCTAATAGTTTTCTCCTGATAGTTTTAATCTTTCTCTTCTTAATTTCATCCCATTACTTCTAATTACACTCCATTGTATCATGGTGAATAGTACTTCTCCATCCTTGGTGTTTATAACTCTCAAATATTTATAGGTAGTTACTTTGTTCCCCTTCCTAAATCATCACTTAATATTTCTACCCAGTCAGTCCATCCAACAACTTATCTAATTTTGTTGTTGTTCTACCCTGAATTTCTCTACATCTTTCTGAGAATCAGACACACAGGTGCTGCAGAATCATATAAAGAAGGAGTATCACTTCCCTGTTCCATCATAGAGGCCCTTGACTAATTAGTCCAATATCAGATTAGCCTTATTTGGTGCTGTTTTACATTGCATAATCCTATTTAACTTGCTGTTCAATGCTTATTTCACCATTTCTACTTTTCCCATATTTCTCCCTCCTACTGTTGTTTTTAACGTACCAGAAGGGGTCCCTCAAGATTCATAAAATATTTTCATTAGTGAATTGGATAATGGAGTGCAGAGTATGCTTATAAAAATGACACAATGAGGAAATGACACAAAGTTCGGAGGGGTTGCAAGCTCTTTGGAGGACAGGATTAGGATTCAAAGTGACCTTGACAAATTAGAAAATTGGTCTGAAATCAACAAGGTGAAATTCATCGAAGACAAGTGCAGAGTACTACACCGAGGAAGGAAAAATTAAATATGCAGCTACAAAATGGGGAATAACTGGCTAGGTGTAATACTGCTGAAAAGGGATCTGGGGGTTCTAGTAGATCACAAATTGAATTTGAGTCAACAATGTGATGCAGTTGCGACAAAGGCTAATATCATTCAGGGGTATTAACAGAAACATCGTATGTAAGACATGGGAGGAATTATCCTGCTCCGCTTGGCACTGGTGAGGCCCCAGGTGGAGTACTATGTCCCGTTCTGGGTACCACACTTTAGGAAGGATGTGGACAAACTGCAGAGAGGAGAGCAACAAAATGATAAAAGGTTTAGGAAACCTGACTTGTGAGGAAAGATTTAAAAAAACAGGGTGTGTTTAGTCTTGAGAAAAGAAAATTGAGGCGGGACCTGATAAGTCTTCAAATATGTTGCAGACTTTTATAAAGAGAACGCTGATTATGTTCTCCATGTCCACTGACGGTAGGACAAGAAGTAAGTGACTTAATCTGCTGCAAAGTAGATTTAGGTTAAATATTAAGAAAATCTTTCTAACTATAAGGATAGTTAAGTTCTTGAATAGGCTTCCAAAGGAGGTTGTGGAATCCTCATAATTGGGGTTAAAAAAAACAAGTTGGACAAACACCTGCAAGGGATGGTCTAAGTTTACTTGGTCCTACCTCAACGCAGAGTCTGGATTTGATGACCTGCCAAGGTTCCTTCCAGCCCTACATTTCTATGAAAGAGTGATCTGTCTCTAATTTTAGATTAAAATATATTTGCAATCTTGTTCACCAGCATATTGGCCTTAGGGTACCCTGTGTTCTGCAGAAGATGCCACTTTTCATAGCTGTCAGTTCCAGTCCTAGTTGATTTTGTCTCCTCTTTGGTTTTGTTTCAGTTTATTACTGAAATGTGTTGACATCACAACTGCTGAATCATGAAAGGCTGCTATAGAAAATGCTGTGCATGTAAAATAAAGTAGTCCCAACTTCTCCTACTTCCATGTCACCTTGATGCCATTGCTAAATCCTGCTGAAGTTGCTCTCTACACCTCCAAAATGTCTTTGCCACTTTTGTCCATATTCATCCCTGGCCTCAACCACTGCAATATATTTCCACTATCATCATCTTAGCTCAACCTTCAGTCATTCTAAAGTTGTCGTTTATGGATAATACAATGTGTCTGCCACATTAACCATATCTGGGGTCTCTTAACATCCTTTCACTGACTTCTTCTTGCCTTCTTCACAAGAAATGCCCTTCCTTATTCTCACTTCCAAAGAACTCTTAAGACTAGCTCCTTCTTTTGGCTCTCCACATAGTCAGTCCTTCCAAAGCCCTAACTAATCACTTCCACACCCTTTGGTCTAGCCAAGCTGCATCACTCACTGGCCTTTTCATTTCCTTCACCCACTCTCTTTTCTCTATGCCTTCTTTCATACAAATTCCCTACTTCTGACACCTCCACTCTCACTTGATTTGCTGAGCCTCCTGCTGCTCATCCTTCATGTCCCTCTTTTAAAGTCGCTTCTTCCCCAAGGCCTAATAACCAGTCTCCACCCTTCCTCAGCTTGTAGTAATAATGAGAATGAGAGAAGTAAAACAAGCAAAAAGTTCACTGATCAACACTGTTTTGCTCAAAGAAAAGGAGTACTTGTGGCACCTTAGAGACTAACCAATTTATTTGAGCATAAGCTTTTGTGAGCTACAGCTCACTTCATTGGATGCATTCAGTGAAAAATACAGTGGGGAGATTTATATACATAGAGAACATGAAACAATGGTGTAACCATACACACTGTAACCAGAGTGATCACTTAAGGTGAGCTATTACCAGCAGGAGAGCGGGGGCGGGGAAAAAACCTTTTGTAGTGATGATCAAGGTGGGCCATTTCCAGCAGTTGACAAGAAGTCTGAGGAACAGTGGGTGGGGGGGGGGAATAAACATGGGGAAATAGTTTTACTTTGTGTAATGACCCATCCACTCCCAGTCTCTATTCAAGCCTAAGTTAACTGTATCCAGTTTAAATTAATTCCAATTCAGCAGTCTCTCGTTGGAGTCTGTTTTTGAAGTTTTTTTGTTGAAGTATTGCCACTTTTTGGTCTGTAATCGAGTGACCAGAGAGATTGAAGTGTTCTCCGAGTGGTTTTTGAACGTTATAATTCTTGACATCTGATTTGTGTCCATTCTCCCTCCCCTTCTCCCCTTCCCCACTCTCCTGCTGGTAATAGCTCACCTTAAGTGATCACTCTGGTTACAGTGTGTATGGTAACACCCATTGTTTCATGTTCTCTATGTATATAAATCTCCCCACTGTATTTTCTACTGAATGCATCCGATGAAGTGAGCTGTAGCTCACGAAAGCTTATGCTCAAATAAATTGGTTAGTCTCTAAGGTGCCACAAGTACTCCTTTTCTGTTCGTGAATACAGACTAACACGGCTGCTACTCTGAAACTGTTTTGCTCAGTCACTTGCTTCTCTTGCATCCCATCTCTCATCTGCTTGTTTGTTCAGACTGTAATTTTCTCAGGCCTGGATTTTTGTTTCTCTGTATCATTAGAAAGTGTGTAGCATCTTTTGAATGCTACATAAATAATACCATATATTCCAAGTTTTCTGTGTTACCTTATTTCTTTACCCAGAGACCAACTGGCAATCATTACAGATTCTAGAGTAGTCATATATAGTGTCATATAATATACACTATATTATTGTGTGTGTGCGCATGCGATATCCCAAGTGAGCTGTTACATTCTGCATCAGCTTCAGTCTCTGAATGGTTTTAAGATGTAGTCCCATATAGAATATGTTAAAATAGTCTAATCTTGAGGTGACAAAGGCATGGATAATAGTAGCCAGGCTTGTATCTGAAAGAATAGGTCACAACCTCCTGGCCAGCTGCAGATGGTAAAAGCGTTTAGGTATTCCTGAAGATGAGCATAGAAGTACTTGGATTAATAGAAAGCCAATCTGGTTACTGCTACAATTATCATTTAACAGTAACTGGGAAATCACCCCTTAGTTGCAAACCCTGGTGACCAGCAGCAGATGCACTCCCTCAGTCAAAGGGGATGATATTACCAGTGGCTATTTCCTGCTTTCCATCATCCTCTTGGTCTTGTCTGGATTCAGCTTCAGACAGCTTGCTTTCACCAGTGCCCCAGTCTCAGCTAGATGTTGTCTGAGGTTCTGAGTTGCATTGCCCATGTCAGACAAGGTGGCAATATACAGTTAGTATTATCTGCATACTGCAAATACCACACCCCTCAATAACACTCTTGCTAGCCCCTTATACTTAAGAGAGGTGAACAAGGGCCAGGGGAACAGAATGTTGCCCATGCTGTCTGCACTTATCATTTTGTTCAAAATGTACATCAACATTTCGTTAGTAACTAATCCTTGTGGTAGAATCATAGAATCATAGAATATAAGGGTTGGAAGGGACCCCAGAAGGTCATCTAGTCCAACCCCCTGCTCGAAGCAGGACCAATTCCCAGTTAAATCATCCCAGCCAGGGCTTTGTCAAGCCTGACCTTAAAAACCTCTAAGGAAGGAGATTCTACCACCTCCCTAGGTAACGCATTCCAGTGTTTCACCACCCTCATAGTGAAAAAGTTTTTCCTAATATCCAATCTAAACCTCCCCCACTGCAGCTTGAGACCATTACTCCTCGTTCTGTCATCTGATACCATTGAGAACAGTCTAGAGCCATCCCCTTTGGAACCCCCTTTCAGGTAGTTGAAAACAGCTATCAAATCCCCCCTCATTCTTCTCTTCTGCAGGCTAAACAATCCCAGCTCCCTCAGCCTCTCCTCATAACTCATGTGTTCCAGACCCCTAATCATTTTTGTTGCCCTTCGCTGGACTCTCTCCAATTTATCCACATCCTTCTTGAAGTGTGGGGCCCAAAACTGGACACAGTACTCCAGATGAGGCCTCACCAATGTCGAATAGAGGGGAACGATCACGTCCCTCGATCTGCTCGCTATGCCCCTACTTATACATCCCAAAATGCCATTGGCCTTCTTGGCAACAAGGGCACACTGCTGACTCATATCCAGCTTCTCGTCCACTGTCACCCCTAGGTCCTT